GTGGACAAATGTAAAGTACTCAGTATAGGAGATGTAAACAGGGAAACCAGATACCAGATGAACAACGATGCCATAGAGAAATCCGACTGCGAGAGAGATTTAGGAGTAATGATAAGTAGGAACCTTAAGCCAAGTAAACAATGTGTTTTTGCTCGTAACAAGGCTAATAAAGTACTTGGGTTCACACAAAGGAGTGTTAGTTACAAGACTAGCGAGGTCATCCTAAAACTGTATCTTGCGCTTGTGAGACCGCACCTGGATTACGCAGTTCAGTTCTGGTCACCGTATTACAGGATGGATATAGAATCATTGGAAAGAATTCAGAGGAGAATGACAAGACTAATCCCGGGCATTAGGAACCTTGAGTATAGAGACAGGTTAAAGCATCTTAATTTGCACTCCCTCGAGAGACGTAGAGCGAGGGGCGACCTGATAGAGGTGTATAAGTGGAAGTCAGGGCTAAACAAAGGGGACATTACAAAGGTACTCAAACTATCCAACCAGGAGCGAACTCGTAACAATGGTTTTTCTTTAGACAAATTTAGATTTAGGCGTGAAATAGGTAAACACTGGTTTGGAAACAGAGTAGTGGATGAATGGAACAAGTTACCAAATATCATCATTAACTCGAATACGCTGAATAGCTTCAAACATAGGTTGGATGCTTATATGAGCGATAGGGGTTGGGTGTAAACGGGACTGCCCAGTATGGGCCAATAGGCCCGCTGCAGTTTCCTCCATTCTTATGTTCTTAACACCACGAGGCCCCAGGAGCAGAAGCCCACGTCGTCAACCTCACCGTCACCGACTTCATCCACACTTACGAAAACCTAAGACACGATGAAGACGAAGAACAAGACCCAAACACGAATGAATGGACACTTCAAGAGAGCAAGAGGAGGAGGAGAGTAAGAAGAAAATCAACTTCAAGCTAACAAGAATACCAAGACAGAAGACCAAGACATTTCGTCCAAACAAGAAAACAACACAATCAAGCCGACCAAGTACTGAGAAACCATTGCCCAACCCAACATGCACCTCACGCTTGACCTGACGCTCACCTGACTCTGTCCTGCCGCGTCCAGGCGAGTTGCTGCTGCCTCCAACTTAAACCCCCTCACGCAAGCGGTGTTTAGCCACGGCACCTTTCTCTCCTTCTAAAATGCATTACAGGAGGATCTAAATAAATTGCAGGGGTGGTCTGAAAAATGGCAAATGAAATTCAACACCAGCAAGTGCAACGTACTTAATATTGGAAGAACAAATACTGTCAATGTATACAGCCTTCACAACATCAACCTAGAGAAGTCGACTTGTGAAAGAGACCTAGGGGTACTTGTAAGCCCGGACCTACGGCCTAGAAAACAGTGCGTTAATGTTCGAAATAAGGCAAACAGAGTATTGGGTTTTATATCTAGAAGTGTAAGAAATAAGAGTGCAGAGGGTTTATTGCAACTTTATCTTGCGCTAGTTAGGCCGCACCTCGATTATGCGGTTCAGTTCTCGTGCCCTTATTATAGAATGGATATCAATTTATTAGAGTCGGTGCAGCGAAGAATGACGAAAATGATTCCGGGACTTAGAAACCTTCCATATCAGGATAGGTTAAAGAAACTAAACTTGCATTCCCTAGAAAGACGAAGAGTGCGGGGAGATATGATAGAAGTATTTAAGTGGGTGAAAGAAATCAATAAAGGTGATATAGATAAAATTCTTATAATATCTGAGCAGGATAGGACTTGGAACAACGGATTTAAGTTGGATAAGTTTAGGTTTAGGAAGGAGATAGGAAGGAACTGGTTTACAGATAGGGTGGTGGACGAGTGGAACAAGCTTAGCAACTTTGTAGTAAGTGCTGGAACGCTGGAAAGTTTCAAAAGGAGGCTGGATAGATTCATGGATGATAGAGAGTGGTAGTAACTCTCGACAGGAGCTGCCATGCACAGGCCAACCGGCCTATTGCAGACTCCTTATTTTCTTATGTTCTTCTGTTCTTATCCTTCCCCTGATCCTCCTTCCCCCCTGTCACTAGCATTTAAGTCAAGTCAAGCTGTACGCTGATTGGCAGGAGCTATGTCGTCAGTTGTAGGGGAGAGGATCCACTGCAGTATCGCTTCTCACTGCCACGCAGGACAGAGGTTCATACACAAAGAAACACATCATATTCATTAGCAGTATATATAGGTCAGAGTCGTGTGGGTGATGTCCCTTTTCGCTGCCATGCAAGACAGTGGTTCATATACATTGGACATCATATTCTAATTGAAGACTGATCAGTTTGGGCTCGTAAATTTGGGATAAACAGCAAGCAATTGTGTGTAAATGAGGCAGAAAGTCAGGTCAGCAACCTGGGACTTGGTCACAATTTTCGTGATGCCATATAGCTGCAGGGTCTACCATTAGACAACACATTATGCTTCCAATATCTTCCCAAGCAGTAGTACCTCCCTGTGTGGGGCAGTTGTTTGATAAGTGTCGGGCCCAAAGTAAGCTTATCTGGGCTCGGCATGCACAAGGGTGAGGGGGGCACTTTAACGTGGAGGGGTTAACCACCCGGCACCCACCCCTAGTATAAAGTTCTTGAGCATTATTGGGGTTACTTTCATTAAGCATACCAAATTTCGGAACAACCTTATCAGTGTGCGGTTTTGGAAGAGACTGTCTTGAATTCTTGATGACACCATCTGTAACCGCCAATCAGGCGTTTAAAGGAATATTCAGGCTCGTGACGTTGAACTCGAACATTATAATTCGGTCAAACCTGTTGGATACAATTCCTTTTAGTATTTCACATAAATCATACATAGGCAATCACATAAATGTCTAATCCAATATATATTTACATAACAATCATAGCTATGTAATCAGTCTAATCTTAACACTTACAATGAGTACTTAATTTTCCATATTTTTATGTCGTCACAATGATAATCGATGCAATGGACACAGTCTACCTGTGTACACAATAAGTACCAGTTAACTTACGTGTTGAAAGTCTCAAAGGAAACCAGGTTAGGTGCTGCCTCTGTGATCTGAATGACGACAGAGGAACCAGGTTAGGTGTTGCCTCTGAGGTGTGAATAACTACAGAGGAACCAGGTTAGGTGTTGCCTCTGTGGTCTGAATAGCTACAGTGCCTATACCCTGCTGTCGTCTCCCCAACCCTCTCTCGATGGGCAAGGCTGAGTCAGGTGAATATAATTTTACATAAACAAAACTCCCCTTACACACTCCGACCTCCTCTGGGCCTCTCATCTCCACCATGTCAATACTCTACAGTCTACACACTGTATACGGGCCGGCACACTCAATGAACATGACATGACTTACAGCCTAACATAATATTTGTTTATGTGTCATCCTACTCATTACTGCTTGCGGTAACACCATCTGTCGTCTAATGTCACGGGGTGCCATCATGACAGTGTTCCTAAGAGACTCACAGGATGGTCGACATCCTCAAGTGATGATGACGTTAGTCCTCGTTTTGGGAGGAGGATGCCTTTACTGTATTATCATTTAATTATATAATCCCATTTAATTATAACTCTTTAGAAGTGTACAGGAAGGAACACCTATACTTATTAAATACACTGTTACTCAGTAGTCAGTAAACACCTTTGTTAGGTTCGTCCGTAAAGGTGCACCTCCACAAAGACAAGCAAAGGACAAACAGCCACCTCTTGCTCTTTTGAAGTATAAATTGGACAACTTCAAAAGCTCTCGTCTTTCTTAGTAGCCCTTCTACGCACCTTTTAATAGATATTTCTATGGGTCGTAATTCGTAAATTGCAAGGTAAATTAGTATCCCTTGAACAATGGTCTGGTTTGGTTCAGGAGACAGTCCATCTGCAAAAAGTGTACCAACTCTTCTAGGGACCATAATTTGTTTCCAAAACCATCTTAAATTAATGTTGTCATCCATTTAATCTAAAGAGTCTGTAAGGAAAATGAAGAAACTTTTAAAGATATTTTTGGTAGTTTACCATTTCTCTAAAGATTGAAATACTGTACATTCAATTTTAAAATCACCTAAAACTACAAATGAATCACGTATTTCTACCTGTACTATAAAAGGTAACGGTTCACCATATTGAAAATCATTTTTTTAGTTAGTCCACTGAATAGTGTTGGAAGACTTGACTCAAGAATATAAAGTGTAGTAATAGGTATCCTGGCCCCCTGGGCTTTGCGCTGCCAGATGGAGTCTTGTGCGGCGATGAAGGTCAAATTGTACCTTATTTAGTTTTGGGGTAAAATAAATGGTATTTCATACTATTCGGCTTAATTTTCAGTTAGAATATGTGAGCTGTCTTTTAATATATGTGCAAAAACGACTCCAAATGGTTAATGTGGATATCACAAATTAGCTCTAGCCTTATACAGTATAAACAATTAATTCAGGATGATTAACGTTGCAGTGTTCTTTATAACTGACAGTCAAGTAAGCGGATACAGTATACATCTCATCCCTATTGACTATTTAGTTGTAGAGCATTATGTTGTACACCTAATTATAATGATAGTTGTGCAGTATAACTTATCTCCGGACGACAATAGATATTTTCTTTTGTTGGGTACATGTCGACGGATGAAAACGTTTCAGGGAATGGAGAAGCTAGATATGGGCATATGACAAATATAGATGATATACACGAGCAACGTGGTAGTATGGATACAGAGAATTTCATTACACTGAATTAGTGCCATTGGTATAATTAATCAATGTGAATTACAGGTGCAACAGTGACCAGAGATGCGTGAATGTGGACATGAGCCAATGCCATATGTTATTTTTCATATGCACCGTATCACCATTAATAGTTATAAATTCAACATTATGTTCCTAAAATACCTGAGACTATAAATCAGTTTGAAATAACATATTCTCAACACATAAATGAATGGAAATAAGTATTGCTGACACAATGGGTAAATATTTAGAGGGAATTACTGACGTAATGTTGGGCGGCTCTGCGCGTGCGCCACACAGACACAGTCACAGGAGGAACTAAAACGTGTGTAAACAAAGCTCAGTGTCAGGAGCTATTTCAGCAAAAAATAAAGTTTTGTTACACTAATTCCTAGTTATGCATGCGATAGAAGGATCAGGAAATGTGCCTGCGTTTCTCACGAAGTTATGGAGACTTGTAGACGACGCGAAGACAAATGATTTGATCAGTTGGACACAGGTGAGTTGCATGGATCACAGACTAAGTTTGTTGTGTTACCGCTGCTGTCACCTGCCCTGCTCTATTGTCCACTTATCACGTGTTTAACGCTCTGTTTTTGACACCTTTGCAACATTAACTGTATGGCACCCTTTCAACTATTTTAGCGAACATTCGCAGTGTTTAGTTAGCCACGAGAACTGTCATTTGAGTTGTAAATAGTCTTTAACTTTTCTTACCATAATAATTCGGGTAACACATAATAATGTGAGCATCACCAAACTAACAGTGTTGGGAGTTTTGTTTATAAAAAATAGTGCTTAAATGTTCCTGTATCTGATTTATCCAGTGTGGGAGCTGCAAAAATGATATTGATTATAAAAGTACTGTAGAAATGGTAAGTAGGTTTTGGCCTTTGTATGGTAATAATTTACAACATTGTTTTGGTATTATTTCACTTGTTGCCACAAAACGAATCTCGAGAATTTTATAGTTGCAATCGGTAATTTTGACAATTTTCAGACACTTTTCCTCAATGGCATTTCTGGCACTAATTATATTTAAGCGAGATATTTAACATTTTATTATGGATGTTCGTAAGCGGCGGTACACACCCAGAACATCGAACGACTGTGGAGGCCGGTAAGTTAGGTTAGATTCAAAACCTTTTCCGATGGTTATTGATGTGTTTTGAACACATTTTACCTTGGTTTTTATCACAAATCTCAAGGTTCTGAGATGGGAGGGGGCCTTATCTCAGAAATTATTGATTTGCGTCTGTAATGAAGGTCAAATACGTTCATAACATATTAAAAGCCATCGGAAAAACAGTTTCAACTTCGATATCGTATAGTGGCAACAAGTGAAAATTTACCATTGTTCTTTTAGGAGCTACGTTGGTTATTATTTAGAAGTTGCCAAACACGGAACTATATTGATTCTTATCGAGGGAATTAGAAAAAAAATGCAATTGCATTTTTGTAGGAAATTTATAGTTGTTGAGTTATTTGGACTTTTATATCTCCCTTACATATAGTAAAAATTTACTGTTTTCTTATTACCCAGCCAATCAGCAGAAGTTTATGACACTTAATATTTGGATAAAATTTTAGTTTCGGTCATCCCTGTTTTTAGATATCCAACCTAACCTAGCTACAGAACCCAGGAACTATAGCTAACCAAAACGGGGGTGCTTCGCCTTCAAAATCCCCCCTTTCTGGTGGGGGTTAAATTCCTAAAATTCCCCGGATGACTGAAGCTAAAATAATGCCGATATTTGGGAGCCAATTGGCAGACGACTTGTGAACGTGCACAAGCTCTAATGTTTGAAATGGGTGGTTGCAGGATAGCGTTTGTCTGTGAAGGTTCCTCCTTGGCGATTTGGTGTGTATTTCAGTGAGTTTTTGAGAACAAAGCCGCAGCTGTTCAAATCTTAAGGGCTCATAGTGTTTTCCCTTCTTCAGTCAAGTTTTCAAGGGGTGATTCAGACTTTCAGTATTGTGAAGATTGGCATACTAGGTACTGTATTGCAGTAAGCTCCAGGGGGAGGGGGGCTAGGAGGTTAGGTCAGGTCCTTCTGGTTTCTCAGGTTAAGAGGTTTTGTTTTGTCATTTTTTTTCCTGCATGTTTTTACCCCATAATTTCCCTCTGCTTTGTGCAACCAATATTGTTGGTAGGTGTGGGGTGGTCATCTCCATAACTAACTACTCATTTCTGATGGAAATGAATGTCAGATTCATATGAAACACAATAAAATATACTATAAATACAGTGGATATTTTGCCGTGACCGGCTTAGTTCCTGCTAATGCTATTTTACCGTGATTGTGCGTTGATTGGCAAATAAAATCAAAACGAAAATGCACAGAACCTATTAGAACCTTACCTAACTTCCTAACCTGTGCGAGTAACACAGGGCACTGATCCTAATTAATATGATCCATGATTTTACTTATTTCTATTGTTTTAGAAAAGTACTGGTATTGGGATAGAGTTAGTTCAGTGGTTCTCAACATGGGGGCCACGGCCCCCAAGGGAGCCAAACGACAAATGTTTAGGGGAGCCACGGCGAGCTGTTATAAATTGTACGTTTCCAAATAATGTTGGGAATCTGAATTAAACAAAACTTGTATTACTTATTTTGACTTGGCAGAAGAGATCTCTGACTGTATTCTGGTGCTCAATGTATCAGTCATATCCAAAATTTAGGGAGATTGCACCTCGAGTCCTCTTGCCTTTTTCAACTACCTATTTATATGAATCTTGTTTCTCCACCCTTCTACATATAAAGAGTAAAAGCAGGAACCGACTGGATGTGGACCCAGACATGAGATATGCGTTGTCAGTGACACAACCTCGGGATCAGTCACCTGACTGAAAGGAAATAATGTCAGCCTTCCCATTGAGCTGTGACAAAATATGCAGAGGTCATATGAACTTTTTCCCAACCAAATGAAAGTTTGCTGTGAGGCTTGTCTAGTAGTCACTCTAGCCTAGTGACGTCAGTTATGTAAATCATGTAAGCCTTATCAAAATATAAGATAATGATGATTGTCAACTTTGAAATAAAATAAGGGTATTCTCTTCATCTGCATTTTATTTTTCAACATTACTTGTGGGGGGGGGGGTTGGGAGAAGAATGAAGGAGGCCACGAGGATGTTGAAAATTCCTCAAGGGGGGGATGGAGTGAAAAAGGTTGAGAACCACTGGGTTAGTTTGATGAGTGTGTAGTGGACACTCCCCTACAACTGCCACTGCAGCGAATTTCTCTGCCAAGCCTAGCTGCCTGGACTGCGCGGGGGTCGGCCAACAGCCTCACCGTGAAGGGATTCTACTCAGTGCTCTCAAACAGACAAAACCTCCTCTCAACAAGCTCCTCACCACACAGCAACTCCCTAGCACTGCATTGTATATAATATATACAGTATATATAGAAAATGCCAGTACAGTAGCTGAGTTTCCCTTCTCACCTCCATCCTAGTGCGATCCAACATCACGTTAACCCCACAAGTTGATTGGTTGAGTAATTGATAGGTTTATACTGTAGATAGATAGATAGGCATTTTGCATATAGACAACATAGCATATACAGTACAAAAATGACAAGTACTGTATGAATTTTCAGAATGGCCGGAGCTTCATCATTCAGAACCAAGCCAAGTTTGCCCGGGATTTGCTGCCACAGTACTATAAGCACAACAACATGGCAAGTTTTGTCAGGCAACTTAATATGTGTAAGTAACATTTCTTGTTATTGATATACAGTATACCATATATTATATTTAAAGGGATCTTATAACATTAAGATATATTTTGATCTAGTGAGTAAGGTACAGGTATTACTGGTAATCTCACTTGCAGATAGGGACTGTCATGATGGAACTGAATGTCCATTGAATTGTCCATTTCATTTTCCCTTTATCCATGTATTTTTCTCAAGGGTCATTGGCAAAGAATTGGGACATTCTTTCGGGAAACTTTCCTTATCTTTAGAATATAGTTTATGGCATATTATGTTAACCTCCAAGGTTGGGGAGAATCTTGTGCTTCTTACTTTACATGTTGCAATTATGTTATTAGTTTTTTAATTTAATTTGGGATTTTATTGTTGACTGAATTTCTTATAGAAGTTTTTTCCAATATGTTGACCAAACGGTGATATTGAAATAGATATACAATATGTCACAGCATACAGTTCTTCAACAAGTGGCCTGTGATATCCCTCCACCTTTACAGTATCCAATGGGTTCTGATTTGTTTCCTGTCTTGTCATGCTGGCTGCTTAACTATTGAATCAGGATTGACTCTGTGCTTTGAAAGCCAGTGAGGCTTTGGGTTTATGAGGGTAAACCCTACTTGAAAGCTGTACCTTCATCTTTTCACACTTCTTAGGCAGTATGGTGCTCCTGATGGATCATCCAAGGAGGTAAATGCTTTCTAAATTGGTGCAAGTCTCACCTACTCATGTACGGGTTACACCGCTTTAGGCATATTATATTCATTCCTGGAAAAAAGAAGTACAGTACGTGTACTGCAAGAAAAAGCTATACAGCTCCTCCCCGACTTACGACCTACTTGACTTACGACCACCCGCACTTACGATCTGCCTCAGTCGTTCAGTCGTACCAACATTTTGTCAAATTACGTATTTTCGAGTCCCAATGTCAGTACAGACAAAATTTTCGTTTGTAATTCACTTTAAAATGGCTGGCAAGCTTAAAAGTGAGAGTTTTGTGGTGCTGAGAAGAAAAAGAGACCAATTTTAGATTTTCAATGTATTATTTAAGCACTTTCGTCTTTCGACCATTTCGACTTACGACTTGGATTTAGGTCCCTAACCCCGTCGTAAGTCGGGGAGCAGTTGCATAAGAAGTCATTAAAACATGCTTGCAGTAGAGATGCATTTGTGATAGTGCTATTTATTACTTATGAGTGTTATGCAATACTGTATAGTACAGTCCCCGACTTACGACGGGGTTAGGGACTGACGACCAGGTCGTAAGTCGAAAATGAGAAAATAATACATAGAAAGTCTAGAATGGGTGTCTCTTTTTCTCCTCAGCACCACAAAAACTCTCATTTTTATGCTTGCCATCCACTTTAAAGGGAATTACAAACTAAAATTTTGTCAGTACACAGCGCAATCACTATCGTCGGGACTCAAAAATACCCAATTTGAAAAATATTATATACTACTGCAGCGGTCGTATGTCTGGGTGGTCGTAAGTCGAGGAGTACCTGCTACTGTACTTTATAAAAAATTTTTAGATGTCGTAATTGCAGAATAATGATACTGTACACTTGATAAATGTATTAAAACATTTTAAATATATATTTTTAATGAAAATGGACATAAATAATTACAATTAAACAATAAGTTTAGGTTTCAGCTTGTATAGGAAATGGTTACTAAGTTACCCATCCACCCCCTGGTGTATTTTGATGGAAGATACTGTATACATTACATGTATTTTAATATTTTTATTTGTTTTTAGATAATGTATCCAGCTATTTTTTCTTTAAGCCTAAGAAAAGTCTACAAGATAAGAACAACCTTCTTGTGTTAGAAAAAAAGTCCTGTGCCCAAATACATTATCCTTAGTAGCTGCAGTATGATGTATGTTACATGATGACTGAAATTACAGTACTTAAAAAAAACATTTGTTCTAGATGGTTTTCACAAAGTGGTGTCAGCGGATTCAGGAGGACTGCGGGTGGAAAGAGACGATATGGAATTTGCACACCCACATTTCCTCCGTGGCCAGGAGGCTCTCATAGAAAACATCAAGAGGAAGGTATTGACTGACTTAGAGATGACCTGATCTCCATTTAATTAATATTAATTGTAATTTTGATGTAAAGGTTTTTAACATTTGAAGTGCTTGAATGGCAAGCAGCCTGCCTCTTTTAAAAGCTTGAAATAAAGAGAGCAGTTGCTCATGGTAATTATTGCACATGAAGATAGATGAAGTGTTAGTGATGGAAACTGTTAATTATTTAATTTCATTGAATATAGAAAAAGTGCTTTTATTTTTAGCTAATATGTTAAGCACTTGCACAATATTTCTTAGTCTAGCAGGATATAGAAGTTACCAGTAAAAACTGTGTACAGTATTCATCATCACCACTCTTTCCTTTGTATCCATGGGCTACTTTATCATCTTGGTTTTACATTAGATTTTAATGATATAATATCATGGTGTAAATATGTTTTGCAGTACTGCTATCTTGTTCTGTTTATTCATATAAAATTTAGAGATTGATTTATTAAGGATGTTTTTTAAGGATATAATGGAGAGTAATGCTTCTCATTCTTCTCTATTGTGTTTTTAAGGACATAATGGAGAAAAATGCTTCTCATTCCTCTTCATTGTTAACATGAAAGTTGTTCTGAGATGCATATGGGAATTAAAACTTAAGCTGCGTCAGCCAGTGCTGTGAATACTAGTCTCGACCGACTGTCCGGCTGACACTTTAGGAGTTCTCTTTGCCCGTGCTGACGCAGCTGTTGACCAAATTTTGGTCAATTTTTTTAGTTTGACTTGGTGGACAAGCTTTAAATTCTTAAAATAGAAAAGTTAATAATGCTTGCACAGTGTGTAAATAATATTTTCATAATTATGTACCACATATCTATTGTCCATGCTTGCATGAGTTAGTCATTATTACCAGTTGACCACTCTCCAGGCTGCATGATCTCTTCCAACAGCTCTAGTCAGATGCATATCCTTGAGATCATTTCTTACAACCTCTCCTCAAAACATTCAAACTCGCGCACCTCTTGACCTAGTTGATGTCCTCAGTTTTGTCCATGTGCCTGGGTCATCTCAGTCTTCCTCTGTGCAAAACCTTGTCAATACTCTCAATACCCAGTTGCCCTCTTAGCTCTGAATAGGGTTTTTTCTCTCATATTCATATTATACATCCATCTCACCATTCTCATTTGACTTTGATCAAGCCTTTATATATCATCTTCTTTAAGTTCTCTACCATACAACATAACATTTCTTACACCAGCTACGTACAGCTTATCAGTAAAGAGAAGGTCCACTTACCATCAATAAAAGCAACAGTTCTCTAAACTACTTCCAACCACTTCTGTTTCTTGCAACTAAAGCATCATCACCACCTGTAATGATCATGTCACCTTGGTGGCAAAAATCAACACATTTGAGGGATATTTTCCCATTGCTGATCTTTTCCAGTCGTACTAAGGCCACCTGATTACTTGCACATACTGTACAGCATGACTAATGTCAGCAACATCCAGCACTCTGCCATTTACTAACTGCACCCCTTGTGTACACACTGGCCATTTTTCAATTTCAACAGTAGGTTCATCACTCATGATACTAATATTTACTTTTGTTTTTGTTACATTCACTCTCAAATCCTTTTACTCTATTCCTTCCATCCATTTTTTTAAACTTCTCCATTATCTTCATTACTGTTTGCTATCAACACTAAAAGTCACAAACACTATAGGTTCAAGATAGTACCTCTAATATCTTGATAAACAGAAGGGGCCTCAAGACAGACCCTTGATGGGTCCCTGTTTTTACCTCAAATTCCTCACTTTCCTTGCCATTTACCCTCACACAGGATCTCATGCTAGACACACCTTGAGCCCTCATTTTCTCAATGCTCACTGCACTACTTCACATGGTGCAGTATCAAATGCCTTCTCAAAATCTACAAATACAACAAAGTTTTCCTTCCTTTCCTAGATATTTTTTGTACTGTAATTCAATCAATCAGAGTACAGGTGCTCCCCGACTTATGACGGGGTTAGGGACCCAAATCCAGGTCGTAAGTCGGAATGGTCGAAAGTCCGACATAGATAAAAAAAGAAGAAAAAAAATCTACAATGAAATACAGTACAGTAAAAGTAATAAATAATGAGGAATGGATACAGTGTGACTGAGCACTTACCTTTAATGTAGTCAGCTGAATGCACACAGGGCTCCCATAATTTTCTAATTATACATGGAGACTACATTAACTGGAAGAAGCAGAGGAGGAGACAGGGCTGGGTGGGTCATCAATGTCGCTTTCTGCAGACAGGTTTATGTGCTGTGGAAACTTGCTGGTTGAAGGTATTGGATCATCTTTGAGGGAGTGAAGAGGCAGCACTGGTGGGGCGTGAGGAGACAGCACTGGGGGACTTCTTAAAATAGATGTCCAATTTAGACTGCACAGTTTGCTTTTTCTTTTCATTATAAATTTCTCTGTAGCAAGCAAGTGAATCCTGGATCATTCTGTCAACTTTGGCATAATGCTCATAATTTTGATCCATGCCATCAAACATTTGCATTCCTTTATTAATTGTAGCAAATGCCTCTGCCATTTGCTTCACTGAAAACTTTTTGGGGGGTGCAGGTCCTTCTTCTACATTTAGACTGGCTTCACCCTCTGTATCTTTGTGTGCTTCCAGTTCGATAAGATCTTCGTTACTGAGCTCTTGTGCTACACTTTCAACCAACTGTTCAACGTCTTCATTATCAATTTCTAACTGAAGCTGTTTACCTAACTCCACTATCTTGTTACTAATATCCGAAATAACTTCATTATCATTAAATCCTCTAAAACTGTTCACACATCTTTTCAGGATTTTCTTCCATATTCCATTCATGCAATGTTTTGTAACCTGATCCCATGCTGCACTAATGTTTTTCATACATGACAAAACGTTGTACTCCTTCCAAAACTCTCTGAGCGTTTTCTCACCTTCAGCAGCAGCAACAGTCTGAGTGAAGGTCGTACGTAAATAATACGCTTTAAAGGCAGCAATAGCACCTTGATCCATGGGTTGGATGACAGAGGTAGTGTTAGGTGGAAGGTAGACTACCTTAACATCAGGGTGCTTGTCGTCCAGGTGTGGTGGGTGTCCTGGAGCATTATCCAAAATCAGCAAAATCTTGAATGGAATCCGTTGTTGCAGACAATACTCCTTGGCTCGAGGAATGAAACAATTCATGAACCAATCCTCAAACAGTACAATGGTCATCCAGGCTTTCTTGTTACTGCGATAAAACACTGGCAGTGTGTGCTTGCTGACATGTTTAAAAGCCCTGGGGTTCTCGGAATGATAGATCATGAAGGGCTTTAGCTTGAAACCAGCAACATTCCCCCCTAACAGAAGTGTAATTCTGTCCTTGAATCCTGGCATTGTTTTCGCCTCTTTGTGGATGTATGTCCACTCAGGCATGCGCTTCCACAATAATCCAGTCTCATCCACATTGAATATTTGCTCAGGCAAATAATTCCCTTCCACAATCACATCATTTAACTCCTCCTTAAAAGCTTCGGCAGCACCAACATCAGCACTAGCTGCCTCTACACTCGCCTTAACATTGTGTAGACTGTAGCGTTTTTTAAATCTATTAAACCACCCATGACTTGCTGTAAAGGTTTGCTCACATTCATCTCCTGCCTGCTCCTTCAGGCTTTGGAACAGGCTTCTTGCTTTAGCCTGTGAGGTTAGAATGCTTAAGGGTACATGCTTCTGTATCTGGTCTTCTATCCATATCACCAATAATTTTTCCATATCGTGAATAGGACCTTGTCTTTTCTTCGAAATTATAGTTCCCTTTATAGGTGTTGTTCCTTTCTCTACATCGCGAATACGTTCCTTGTCCTTCAGAATAGTGGATATGGTCGAGTGCGAGAAACCTAGGTCACGTGAGATTGTTGCTACAGGTTTTCCATTCTCATATTGCATTATTATCTTCATTTTCATCTCAAAAGTAATTGCCTGTCTCCTTTTCTTTGGATTACCACCAGCACTCTCACTTGTACGCTTTCCAGTCATTATAAAGTCAATTAAATACGATAATATCGTAAGTTCACAGCGCGATCAGCATAGGATACGATAGCCAAACACCAACTAAGCGCTGTACTGAGTGAGTGTCACCAAGCGGTGACCCAAGCCACGCCACGCTCTCGCTCAGGACAGAAACGTTTCGGTATAGAAAATGCGCGCGTCATTTGAAAATATTTTTGGTCAGAACTGCGGCGGTCGTATGTCCCTACGGTCGTAAGGTCAGAGCAGGTCATAAGTGCGGATTGACGTAAGTTGAGTCAGTCATAAGTCGGGGACTACCTGTATTGTCATAATATCTGAGGGTTGGCAACCACAGTCCTTCACTCCAAATGTTTTTGGGCTGTTTTTATCAATTCAAGTCTGCACTTATAATATGAGTGAGCATAAAAAAGGAAGAGGTGATATAAGGACAATCCAGTACCCTGAAAAAGAACTGCACAAGTGAGCATATGGAGAACATGACACTGGTATAACTGTACAGTATTGTAACTTATATGCTGATATGGTAATGTCTTAGCAAGCAAGAATGGTCACTGCTGCCAAATTGCTTATAAGCACTTTCCTGGAATTGACACTTGTTCTTCATAAATTTTAATAAGTATAAACTTTTCAGTATGTTTATTCATAAAACTCCACTCTTTTTTACGATAAGAAATACTGTTTAGTAATTCTGCAGAGAATTTATCGGAGCTGCTAAATATTCAGAATATGATGCCAGAAGTAACATGAAACTGTGTGTCTACTGTATGTTGATTATAATAGATTTTGGTATTGAATTACTATACAGGTAACCTTATATTGACAGTTTTATGATACTGGTATGAAATCTGATTCCAGAGGAGTTGCAGGACATAGGATTTTTTTTATCGAGAAAAGGAGGTTTATCTCTCGGGATTTGTTTTGCATAATATTGTAAACATTGTGCAAGCATTATTAATAAAAAAAATTGCTGGAACTATTAGATTTATGTAAAATTATATCAAAGTCATTTTCCACCAGATTGTTCGAGAAACATTGGTAATGGACTTGTCCTTGTGTGTAGGTTTCCCATTTGCATCTCTTGCAGCAACAACGGAGACTTGCAAGCGATGGCGTCGATTTTTCCCAGATACCCACCAGCCGCACGATGATCATAGAAGAGAACAAGAGTGTGAGCAAGCTGTTGAATGAGGTGCGGGATATGAAACGTGACCACGAGTCTATGAGCACCAAACTTCTCGGTCTTAAACGTGAAAATGAGGCCCTTTGGAGAGAATATGCCAGCATGAGACAAAAGTTCTCCAAGCAACAACAGATTATTGAGAAGGTGAGTTCTGAGTATAATTTTTATGTTAATGGATTGATGTTTTAAAACACTTAAAAAATAAATGGTTTTGGAAAGTCCCAACTACTGCAGTGGCTGCATTGCTTTATGTATTTTTCCCGTACTGTTTAGTTGGTGGTTCTGGGTATCTTTGTAACTTAAATGTCCTACGAACACAACACCATCTAGAGTTACTTTTGTTTTAATATAAAAATGGGGAGCAGGACCTCAAGGACAGATGTTATATGCTGATTGTTGGCGATTGAGTAAAAATTAAAAGCTGTTATTGTTCTGGGCCATTTATTTTTTTTATTTATATTCTTTACTTACCGTTCAATTTGATAAAGATGCCATAAGTTATACCTTGATTAAAGTTCTTGAAATGATTACCTGGTACTCTGCTCTGTGCAGCATTATGATTCGTTGACACTGGCAGAATTGTTGTACAGTAAAGCCTCGAATAACGACGTTAATGTGTCCTCCAATATTGCAGTGTAAGGTGAATCGTCTTATCGCGAATCATTAATTACCATTAAAATAAAGCAACAATATTGAGATGTGTTCCCAAGTGTGACCTTTTCATATCCCTTGTGTGGCTTTTTACCCTCTTTTCCCCCAAAACAATACAATTAATGAAAATTGCAAACTATATTCTTTGAATAATGTTTCTGAATGCACCTTACACAATATAAATGAATAATAATATGGTCACACAAGAGGAGATGGGACGCCATTGTTTTTGTTTGTGTTTACGTCCGGGACGATAGTTCTACACAAGAAAATTAAGAAAATAAGACCCTGGTTGTTGTTGTAGTAAAATTAATGTAAAAAATATGTATGTTTTAATTAATATTATTTAATGTACAGTAGAAATAACCACTGATATTAAAGAAAAAGTGAGACTGCTGGTGGAACGGCGGTGTATACAGTACGTGCGCACTCAAGGAAACATATTCATTTATCTTAAGAATACAGGGGTCCCTCGATTAATAACGGTCCAATTAACAAAATTTCGGTTAGCGAATTAGCTCACATAAGAATTTTCAATTCCATTAACGAACAAATCTTCGATTAGCGAAAGCCTTACGAGAAACGCGCTTTCTTGTGCGCATCAGCTGATTGGCTAGTCCGCCAATACAGTAATTGGTTCTATGTTTACATTCGTTTCCAGTGGAGTAAATATCAAGAAAGTTGTGCTCTTGAATATTTTTGTATTTTTTATATTAAAATTATTGGTCATTCTAATTTAGTTAACATATTGATAATATATACAGTACAGGGAACAGTTTTTGTGTGCCCTTCAGCTGATCGAATCACCCACCAACGCTTCTCAGTTTATCTTTGTTTACGATGGAGTGAACATCCAGTTTGTTGGTCTCTTGAATATTTTTTGCATTTTTACATTAAAATTATTGGTCATTCTGAAATTTAGTTCACATATTGATTATATACAGTGCAGAAATTATTATGAAACATGAAGAAGGCATTAGAACCAATGCTCTCTACGATCAGCTGTTTGATATGTAAACAAAGCTGCCGGTAATACGACATACACACCTCAAAGTAAGTTAAAATATAGTTTTTCATTGTTTTTTTTATTTATTATTATACAGTATATTATACAGTATAGTACTTTATTTAGTTTATATTTAATGTTTTGTTAATTCTATTACCGGTATACAGTACTTTGTATGTACTTTCTCTGTGAGTTGGAACCAATTACCCAATATCCCATTGAAATAATAGATTCAGTTAACAAAATTTTCGGGTAATGAACGACTCTGTGGAACCAATTGTGTTCATTAATCGAGGGACCACCGTATGTACAAAAGATTCATTATTGTTTATTAATGAATATGTATTTGATTGAATTAACGTTTATATATGTGAAATGAACAATGCAATTCTTTAATAATACAGTACGTAGAATATTAAAATACACACGAGGAGACAAGACGGCATTGTTTTCGTTAGTGACGATGGCTCTACATAAGAAACTGAAGAAAATAAAACCCTGGTTGTAGCTGTAGTGAACTTAATTTAAAAAAAAATAATACCTTTATGTGTTATTTAATGTTAATAAATGGAACACTAGAAGTAGCTAATCATTAATGGTAAAGAAATAAAGCGAGACGATTGGGAACGCCAACAAGTGGAACAAGCTTAGCAACTTTGTAGTACGCGCTGGAATGCTGGAAAGTTTTAAAAGGAGGCTAGATAGATTCATGGATGATGGAGAGTGGTAGTAACTCTCGACAGGAGCTGCCATGCACAGGCCAACAGGCTCCTTATTTTCTATGTTTCTTATGTTCTTATGTATGAACAGTAAGTGAGTACATGTGAAAACATATCGTCATTTCTCTACCTATGAATATGAAAGCAACACTTATTTACTGTTCATATATGTTTTAAATAATATTTATGAATGTAAAACAAAAATTCTACTCACCAATGGTGGTAAAGTCTAAAACATGAGGACAGCCAATGAATATTGTGCGAGTTTTTACTCAGATGACGAAGGCATCAGGTTCAACTCTGGCTGAAGCTGTAGCTTTCCATAAAGCTGTTGCTGCAACTGTTACTGAACCTGAAAAGTTGATGTTGAAGCTGCTTATGATGCAGAATTTGATGGTGTAGCTGAAGTTGATGGCTTGGGCCTTCGAATAATAAAGCTGTTGAAAGAACCTTGCACAGCTGCTTTCTTTTCTCATTATACATCCTTATGTAGAGGTCATTTGCGTTTATTTAAATTTTAACGCTTTGTTCTGTTAATGGATCCACTTCAGAAAATATGTTCATTGCTTGCTCCATATAATATCCACAGACCTCTCACCTTTTTCATATTGTTTTAGCACATCTAGTTTCTCTGCTAAGCTTATACACTTTCTATTAGCTAACACCACTACCTTCACTTGCTCTCTTGCTCATGTTGAATAGAGATGTAAAAATGCTGTAAGAAACCTGAGAAAGTTTTTCTCCTGTTCCTGTTCCAGATGGGTGAAAACAAAAGGCTCGCCAAGCTCTGACTGTTGTTTACCACTTATTAGTCAGGTAGCATCTTTGTGCAAGGCGTCTTCATTTTATTTTACAGTATTTTGTTTTATTATGCATATTGGATTTAGTTATTATTTATATGAAAATGTAATTTTATTGTATTTTTTATTATATTTTGGTCGTAAATACGAATGAAATAAAGACAAATTGAATTGGGTCCTAAATTAACGAGGGTCTTTAATATGAAAAGTTGTTGGTCGAACCGTTGTTATTGGAGGCTTTATTGTACAGTGACCCCTTGTTTAACGAAATTTCGGTTAACGAACTGCCTTCCATAAGGATCTTCAATTCGGTTAACGAATTTCTTACGAACCGACCTCAACATGTTTTCGCTTGCACTGACCGGGCAACCAGCTTTAGTATCAGTCCGCCAATACATTAATCGGTTCTAGGGCTTAAATTCCTTACTATTTTAGTAAATATCAAGAAGTTTATACTATTCAATAATTTTAAAAGTTTAATATTCAATTTTTTAGTCATTTTAACAATTATTGAACATAATTGAAGGTAAAGTGACTAGTTTAATGCGCGGCATCCAGCCTCTTAACACAGCAAACAGGCGTTAGTCTCTCTCTGTTTTCACTGGAGGTAACATCTTGCTTGAGACTCTCTTCAACTAAACGCTTTTTTTCTGTGTTTCCAAGCAAATTATTGGTCATTTTGAAATATATTTTACATATTGACAATATATAATGCAGTGCAGTGTTGATTTAAAGAAAGTAATCTTGAAATACACCAAGAGAACTAAAATTTTATGGGTGAAATGGTGCCATGGGGTGATTTCTCTTCCACCCCAATGCCTTCTCTTCTTCCTTCTCCTCCACCCCTATTCTAATTCCCATCATCATCATCATCATCCAGGAGCCTTCTACATACACACCTCAAAGTAAGTGAACTTTTCTACCATTTTTGTTGAATTTAGGCAATTTTCGGTGAGCTGGAACCAATTACCCAAAAACCCATTGAAACAATGGTTTCGGTTAACGAACTTTTCGGTTAACGAACGACCTTCTGGAACGGATTGAGTTCGTTAACCGAGGGGTCACTGTAATTGCTTTTGTTTTATGTTGGAACCATGAAGGTAAGTACAGGTACTGTAGTATATAGAAATTTGAGTTGTCTAGTTTAAAATAGTTTTATTATTCTATTTAGTATCTATTTATTTATTTTATTTATTTTCAGCTCATCCACTTCCTCATTGCCATGGTGAAGAGTCCCTCTAAGACTCTGGTTCCAAAGAGAAAATTTGGTCACTTGGCTTTGGAAGGTGGAGAGGAGAACTCGTCTTCATCCACCAAGATCAACCCTCTCCCACAGTTCTCTCAGGGAACGCCCATTGATGTGAGTTTCTCTCAGGTAAATCAGTCATATTTATGTTGAAATAACAATAAATCTAAAATTATAAATCTTAAGATATATAAGAACATTTATCATATAACAATGAACATACTACTAACATTGTTAACATTTTAGTAGGGTAAAACCAGGTAGTTTTATTGTAGCACGTCTTTTATACATTTTTTTTTCAGTTGCACATAATGATCTTAAAAGTCTTTCATATGTAGATCTTGGTGTATTATCTTTTAGACTTGGGTCATTGCATTTTGGATCTTGTATATATGGATAGAATGGTGAGGGAGATGAAGGCTAGGGAGATTTGGGTAGTAGCTGCAGGGGACTGGTTAATAGGATATATATGCAGCACAGTATCGCTGGTAAACAATGCCTCTAACAGAGAGTGAACAGGAATTGCAAAGGGTTGTGAAACTTTAATTTTCTGCTCTAGATCTATTACTTTGTTTACAAGCATGTCCTGCACTCTTACTATCATGTGGGCACTTTCCAGTCATTTTGCAACACAATTAAGAGCAAAACCCTAGTCATCCGTAACCCAGAGAGTGTCCGCTGCTCTAAATGTTTCACTCCTCTTCTTTGCACATGCCTCATCGTTTGAGGTTATCATTGCAGGGAGGAGGGAAGGGTGGTTTATATTTGTTGAGACTGGTTGTTCATGTCTGAGGGTTAAATAATCTCCTAGTTAATCATGTTACAATACTGTACATTAAAAGAGCTACCTGGTTTTGGACTCTACCAGAAAAAGGGGTTTTGTGATCAAAACTCCATGAGGTAGATAACTTGTACAAAGTTTAGAGCAATTTTGTATGTATATATATGAAAATAATTGGTGGATGTGTGTATTAACATGGAACTATTATTAGAAAGTTACAAATGAATTCCCTTTTTAGTTTTTAAGTAAAAATTTTTGCAAAGAGTTCACATTGAGAATTGATAATACAGCTCATCCCCGACTTACGACGAGGTTAGGGACCCAAATCCAGGTCGTAAGTCAAAATGGTCTTAAGTCGAAAATGCTTAAATAATACGTGGAAAATCTAAAATGGGTGTCTCTTTTTCTTCTCAGCAGCACAAAACTCTCACTTTTAAGCTTGCCAGCCATTTTAAAGTGAATTACAAACGGAAATTTTGTCAGTACACAGTGCAATCACTGACGTTGGGACTCGAAAATACGTAATTTGACAAAATTTTGGTACGACTGAGGCAGTCTTATGTCCGGGTGGTCATAAGTCGGGGAGGAGCTGTAGTTGTTTTAGAGAGATCAGACTGACAGACATTAGTAGTATGAATAAAGTATTTAACTAAGTGAATTCTTTTCCAAAATACCCAAACATTTTAGCTTGTGGGAGACTGTGAAGGTGGGGCACAGATCCAGGAAGTGACAGATCTCGTAGATGCTGATGATCCCAACATCTTTTTACCCGATGATGATAACCCAATAAAAGACACATTTTATGGCATGGCTGCAAAGTTACCTGAAGTTGACAAGGTGTAAGTATATAGAGAGGATTCTGTCAGTATTAGATAGATTTAGCGGTACCATAGTTGCTTTTCACCTTTAGATTCAGTAATTACTTACATTGTTGCAACTTTTCAGCCAGTCCAGTTGCTTTACAGTATATCAGTTACGTATACAAGTGGGATGTGTGACAGGTGATCTGGTAACACTGTATGCGAAAGAGTTGACAGATATACTTTAATGACTAGTTATTTGTTGCCTAACGATACATTTCTTGCATATAACTTAATTAGTATCAATGTGTAAAATGTGGAAAAAATAATAATATTGAGAAATATATGACATTGCTGCAAGATGATTCATAATTGGGAACCAGATGTATATGGTTATTTGTACTGCTGATGCCAACGAGTGATAAGCTTATAACCTTGTGATCTGTATAAATGTGAAAAATTACCTCATACTGTGCCCTTACTCTCTTCACACCTGTAATATGCTGTACCTACAACTGTATAAAATAACAATGTCATATTTCTCAATAACATTGTTTTCCCACATTTTACACATTGATACTAATGAAGTTATATACAAGAATTGTATTCTTAAGCAAACTCTGATCATAAATCTTAAATAACAAGCCATTTAAAGAATGTGTTAACTTCCCCAAACAGTGTTACCAGATCTCTTGCCTCATATCATGCAGGTTGGCTCAGGACGAACTTCTGCTGTTGACTGTACATTGCAACAAAAATTTGGGGCTAACTTCCTGTTACTTTCACTGGATCCATGGAATTGAATATGTCTCAGTGCTTTTATCCAATTTACTCAATTGAATCAATTAAAGAGCTTTGATATATACCTCATCCTTCAAACATTGTAGTCACAGTTCATCTTATCTTCCTTATCCTCAAAATAATACTGGTACATCATTTTGCTCTTGATTTTATTGCTAGTTGTTGTGCAGATGATCACACTCAAGTCTGTGTCAAAAGTAAGCTGAACGTTATAGGTCAAATCAGGCAATAGGCATATCATGAACTGTGATGATTTTGTTGACACCTACCTTACCATTTTTGTGCTCTGTTGGTTACACATGCAGCCTTCCCTCTCCACACGTGATACACCTGCTGCCTTAACCTCTACAATAGTGATATGCTTATAACCTGTGACCTGTATAAATGTGAAAAAGTACCTCATACTGCGCCCTTACTTTCTTCACACCTGTAATATGCTGTCCATACAACTTTATTCTCGCCACATGTACAAACAGGACAGTTCACAGGGTGCTCTGATGTTTGTTCTTGGCTCACATAGAATTTAGCTGCTGTTTTTATTAACTGGCCGAGCATTGGTTGTGTGGGTGGAGTTTACATGTTACTGAATATTTTATTGTACTACAGTATATATACCCCCTGTATATATTTATATTCTGATTGGAATACAGTATTGAATTTTGCCTAATTAATTAATCTTCTAATTTATTTTTATTACAAAATTAATCCTAACATTGTATTTTATAGCATGAGGACCCCTGCAGGAGAATCCAGTAATAACATAATGGAACCAGAGACCGTACTCACTGTCAATGGTGAAATATTTCAGTTCCCGGAAATAAGTATCCAAGAACAACCTATCCTTGGTGAGTGACTTGTTTATTTTTTGCTCAGTTGTGGGCATTGTAGGAAGGAGAATGTGTGCCATTGTAATTCAAGGTTAGTAAACAGGAATGTAAATGAAATAACCAAGAAAATTTTATTGCTCTTGAACATTAGTGTATATCACCACTCTACGAGGCAGACTGACTGTGTTGGAGTAGGTACACTTGCTTGACATGAGCACCCAGTGATGACTGAACTCCAGGCAAAGGCTGTTGCTTCCCCTCCTCCCAATTGTATAAGTAAAAATGGTAGATAATTCTGCAGTTGATGAGGGTTGGCTGTATAGTTGCTTCTTATATCTTATAGTACATTCTTTTAATCATGTGCAAATATTAACATATTTTCAAAATCTTTTTCTTGCAAATTATTTCAGGTTTTTTGTCATTGTCATTACTCGGGTTTTAAAGTTAAAGCATATTGGGGACCTTTGCACCTTGTATCTTTCAGTAGTTTCAGATTTTGCCACTGTGGAGTCACTCAAAAAACTGGACTACCTATTATCTTTACAATTTAAACAAGTTAGTATTAATTTTCTCCCAAAATATCAATTTACATCAAAAGTAATCCTGGCCTTAATTACCTAAGTTTTTTGGTACTTGGGGTAAAAAATAAATTTTGTTAAAATTTCATACAAAGGTACGACTTTACGTGCTGATTAAGGATCTGGGATCACAATTTAAAAATTCGAGTAATTAGTGTTAATTAATGACCTTTGAAATAATTGAAAATATTTAAAAGGTTAATTACCATTAAAATAAAGCAACAATAATGAGATGTGTTCCCAAGTGTGACCTTTTCATATCCCTTGTGTGGCTTTTTACCCTCTTTTCCCCCAAAACAATACAATTAATGAAAATTGCAAACTATATTCTTTGAATAATGTTTCTGAATGCACCTTACACAATATAAATGAATAATAATATGGTTACACAAGAGGAGATGGGACGCCATTGTTTTTGTTTGTGTTTACGTCCGGGACGATAGTTCTACACGAGAAAATTAAGAAAATAAGACCCTGGTTGTAGCTGTAGTAAAATTTATGTAAAAAATTAATATATATGTTTTAAGTAATGTTATTTAATGTTAATAAATGGAACAATAGAAGTAGCTAACCACTAATGGCAAAGAGAAAATAAAGAGATGGATTGGGACCGCCAGCATATACGTGCGGATTTAAGGAAACCGTGTCATTTATCTTTTCAAAAATATGTACAAAAGAATCATTATTGTTTATTACTGAATATGTATTTGATTGAATTAATCTTTATATATGCGAAATGAACAATACAATTCATTAATAATACGTAGAATATTAAAACACACAAGAGGATAAGAGACGACATTGTTGTCAGTGTTTACACCCATAATGCCAGTTATCCACCTGATACTGAAGAAAATAAGACCCTGGTTGTTGTTGTAGTAAAATTAATGTAAAAAATATCTGTTTTAATTAATGTTATTTAATGTACAGTAGAAGTAACCACTGATATTAAAGAAAAAGTGAGACTGATAGTGGAACGCCAATGTATACAGTACGTGCGCACTCAAGGAGAGTCTTATATCTTAAGAATATGTACAAAAGATTCATTAATGTTTATTACTGAATATGTATTTGATTGAATTAATGTTTATATATGTGAAATGAACAATGCAATTCATTAATAATACGTAGAATATTAAAACACACAAGAGGAGACAAGGCGGCATTGTTTTCGTGAGTGATGATGGTTCTACGTAAGAAACTGAAGAAAATAAGACCCTGGTTGTAGCTGTAGTGAACTTAATTTAAAAAAATTGAATACCTGTATGTATGTTTTAAGTAATGTTTTTTAATGTTAATAAATGGAACAATAGAAGTGGCTAACCGCTAATGGGAAAGAAATAAGGCGAGACGATTGGGAACGCCAACGTATGAACAGTAAGTGCGTACCTGTGAAAACATATCGCCATTTCTCTACCTATGAATATGAAAGCAACTCTTATTTACTGTTCATATATGTTTTAAATATATTTACGAATGTAAAACAAAAATTCTACTCACCAATGGTGGTAAAGTCTAAAACATGAGGACAGCCAATGAATATTGTGCGAGTTTTTACTCAGATGACGAAGGCATCAGGTTCAACTCTGGCTGAAGCTGTAGCTTTCCATAAAGCTGTTGCTGCAACTGTTACTGAACCTGAAGTTGATGTTGAATCTGCTTATGATGCTGAATTTGATGGTGTAGCTGAAGTTGATGGTTTAGGCCTTCGAATAATAAAGCTGTTGAAAGAACCTTGCACAGCTGCTTTCTTTTCTCATTATACGTCCTTATGTAGAGGTCATTTGCGTTTATTTAAATTTTAACGCTTTGTTCTGTTAATGGATCCACTTCAGAAAATATGCTCATTGCTTACTCCATCTAATATCCACAGACCTCTCACCTTTTTCATATTGTTTTAACACATCTAGTTTCTCTGCTAAGCTTATACACTTTCTATTAGCTAACGCCATTACCTTCACTTGCTCTCTTGCTCATGTTGAATAGGGATGCAAAAATGCTGTAAGAAACCTGAGAAAGTTTTTCTCCTGTTCCTGTTCAGATGCGTGAAAACAAAAGGCCCGCCAAGCTCCGACTGTTGTTTACCACTCATTAGCCAGGCAGCTTCTTTGCACAAGGCGCTCTTAATTTTATTTTACAGTAATTTTTTTTGTTTAATAATACATATTGGGATTTAATTATTATTTATATGAAAATGTAATTTTATTTATTTTTATTATATTTTGGTCGTAAATACGAATGAAATAAGGACGTAAATTGAATTGGGTCCTAAATTAACTTGGGTTTTAAATATGAAAAGTTGTTGGTCGAACCGTTGTTATCGGAGGCTTTACTGTAGTTCAGAAATAATTTGGCCTCATAAATGTGAAGTCACAGATAATTATAGATGACTCGGATAATGAGTACCCCTTTTACAAGGTAGATGGTAAATAACATTAATTGGTATCTAGGTGCCCAAATTAAACAAATTTCCTGGATCCATCACACATCACTGCTGGTTTGTGAAAAAAAAAAAAAAAACAGTGTCCCTCTCTGAATCCAGCCATGTTTAAATGTGTACTGTACTCTATCACAATTTTATATATGGTCATTAGTTAAAAAGCTGCTCCTTTTCAGCATCAAGTATTATAAGTCCTGGTGGAACAGACTTAGATGAGGGTACGCGCTCAAAATTTACTCATAGTACTTTACTTGATGAAGCACCCCTCAGCCCTGAGCTCCTAAATACTGTTGATCCAAGTGCTGTGACGCAGTCATTCAAGTATGACGTCAATGAAAGCCCTGTCTTAAGCTCCAGGTGATTATATTTTGCTTATGTTTCTTGAAGCATGTTTTAGGTAATTACTGTAGAGGCAAATGTTTAACTAACAACTAATGGATTATGTATTATATTATTTAGGTTTATAGATGAATGTAAAATGAATGACATAAGTCTTTGATCAACATCTAATAAGTCATAATTTGTGTAACAGTAACATTGGTCATGTAGTCTCCCCAACGTACAGATATTATTACATCATATAGTAAGACCCCTATAAGTCAGACTTCTGTAAGTCACATGAGCTTTGGCTTAAGGGAGGTTGTGTGGGGCGGCAGTTGGGAGAGGAGTCAGTTCCCACATTGTTGTTGTGACCACTTCTCCGTTGCTCACTCTGGTTTTGTATGTACAGTGGTCCCTCGGTTAACGTATTACTTTCCATAAGAATCTTCAATTCTGTTAACGAAAAAAAATTTGATTAACGAAATTCATACGTAAACATGTCAACATGTTTTGGCTTGCTCATCGGCTGGTAGATTAGTCCGCCAATACAGAAATCGGTTCTAGGGCTTACATTCGTTTCCATTGGAGTAAATATCAAGAAGGTTGTGCTATTCAATATTTTTCCAAGTTTTATATTAAAATTATTAGTCATTTTAACACTTATTTAATATAATTGCAGTACAGGGAACTAGTGTTTGGTGTGCCCATCAGCCACTTCACTCACCCACCAAGGCGTCTGTTTGTGTCTCTGTTCAGTGGAGGAAACATCTTGCTTGTGGGTCTCTTAAACACAGAGTATTTTTACGTTTTTACAGTACAATTATTGGACATTCTGAAATTTATTTAACATATTGATAATATGTAGTGCAGTGCAGTGTTGATTTAAAGGAAATAATCTTGAATTACACCTTGTGAACTTAAAATTTTATTGGTGAAATGAGGCGTCAAGCATTGGACCCCTGAAAGGTGATTTCTCCTCCATCCCCACTTCCTTCTCTTCTCCCTTCTCCTCCACCCCCACTTCTAATTCCCATCATTATCATCAACCAGGAGCCTTCTACATACACACCTCCAAGTAAGTGTACTTTACTGCATTTATTTATTTTTTACTTTGTGTGTACAGTACTTTTCGGTGAGCTGGAACCAATTACCCAATATTCCATTGAAACAATGGATTCGGTTAACAAAATTTTCAGTTAACGAACGGCCTTCTGGAACGAATTGTGTTTGTTAACCGAGGGACCACTGTACTGTATTTACTGCTTCCTTGGTGTATTATTATGGTCACTAAAGTAAGTAAAGGCAAAACAACACCACTGAGGACCACTGGAACAAAAAGGATGGTGTTCAGAACTACCATTGAAGAGAAACTGAAGATATAAGACAGAATTGATGCTGGTGTCTCCATGAACATTATCTGTAAGGAGTTTGGGCTGGTGTGAAATACTTTTTATGACACCAGACAGATTTAAGTGCATACTACATATTAGTGTAACTAAATAGAAAGTGTACTGCAATTAAATAACTGTGTGAATATACATACTGTAAGTGTAAGCAGCCCCTATCATCCTCCACCTCTTGTTTCATCTGATACAATATAGCACAATAGGTGCAGTATAAATGTGTACCATTATTACTAATATATTTTTTTATGGATTTTTCAGCAAAATAATGGTTGAAACCACCTGGGGGATTATGTATAAGTTGGAATTCAAGATAAGTCAGACAGCCTCAAGCCTCATATACTTAACCAAAAAGAAGTAAGAGGAGGATAGAGTTTGCTTACTCTTGCTTCTGGCCTCCCTGCATTATAGTCAAAAAAGGTTTAACAATTTTAGTTCAGTATAATTAATTTTTTTAAATATTTTAATGGCATCTGAGTTTGTTTATGTATTGATTTAGCTGTTGCATTTTCAGTGGAGCGAAGTCTACCATGGCACCTAGCACTTCAACCTCTTCTACATCTGCAAAGTCTCAGGTCCACAAAGTAGCACAGAAGGGTAAGATTAAAGCTGTTAAGACCGAGAAGTCTGCTCCACAATCTTCCTCTATGAGTGTTGCTGTTCCAGAAAAGAACATGCAGAAGTAAGTAAATATTTAGATCTTTTGGAATTGAGCAGAGCCTTGCCTAATGGCATTAGAGTTGTGTTGCGAGAGTGCTGAATTTTCTTCATGACCCGGTATTATCACCTTAAACTAACCCCTAAACACCCACAGTACTAAATTGACAAGCTAACACATGTTTTGTACACCATAGTTCTTTAAGAAGTTCTCTTACTTACAGTATATGGCTGATGTCAGATACAGTAATTGAGAACATTCTCAAATATTAAGAAAATAGTCTTAACTTTTTTCCATGAGATAATTGATTTGTAAATACTAAAAGCACAAATATTTGGGAGATTACTGCGTGTCTGATGATATTATCCATTATTTTCTGAGGTGATTAATTATAGGGGAAATTTTATTTTAATTCTAAAGCAGGCAAGAACTACAGACCCACTTGGAGGATATGCAGACCACCATCGATTCCCTGCAAGATCTACTTAATGCAGGCAATTTCAATGTTGAACCATCTATGCTTCTTACGGTGAGAAATCTCACACTTTATGTTGTATGTACAGTAAATTTCACTTGTGATGTTGGTTACATTTCCAATGCTAGCTTTCATCACTTGGACAAAGCCTCTGTCTAGTTTGGCACCTTGGTAGTCCTCCAGCTTTTATTAGTTTGGTCGAAATGTTCTGAAATAATTAAATTGCAGCACCAAACTTGTTTCTTGCAAATTATTAATTTAACAGAGGTGTACCAGCAATATATGGTAATTTATAGATATTTCAAGTTTGGTATGCATACCTGAAACTAATCAGGCCAGACTAGAGATAGGCAGTTTTTTTGATTCCAGGGTCTTAAATTCTTGAAAAAATCTTAATACGGTACTTGCTTTTTTCCATATTGAAAGAGAGAGTTCTGGTTTCCTAACATTTGCATAGGGACTCAAAGGTTTGATAGAACAAATAAATTGAAATCATCCAGTCACTAAATTTTCTCATACTTAGCCTGTCCATATTTTTTTATTAATGTACTTAATGTGTTTTCACTCTGGATATTAAACAGGAAATAGATTCTGTTGTATAATTTTCTTTTTTAGATAATTTATATGTAAAACCTTATACTGTACTGTATATTCTTTAATGATGTTTCTTTTGCAGCTTTTTGGATCTGATGATGGCTACTTACCAGAGCTAGATAGTTTGTCCCCTGTTGCTAATGGTAAGTAAACAATTATGTGACATTTTAAGCTCTAAGGATTTGTAGTACTGTAGTAGTAGTAGTAACATTGCAGTTTGACCTCACAAATTCATGGTAATTGGTATACCATCTTGGCTGAATTTCCAAAAGGCATGGATTTGTGGAATCATCTGGATTCTCTTCCCCCCCCCTTCCATCATTGTCTTCGTCTCTTGATACTATATCAATGCCACTCAAATCAAGCAACTCTTGAAGAACAGCACTACTATCAAGCAAACACCTTTGCTTTCGTTTGGGTGTGGAGGAGTGAGGCACTGGTCTTGAGACAAAAACACTCGAGTCGAGTTGCTAATTACACAAATATTCCATACGAAGTATTTCTTCCCTCCAGGACATTCAAAACATGCCATAAAAAATAAGAACGATCAGTTGTGCAAAAGAAAGGGATATTGGACTTGTTGTGGATGGGAAGTTGACAGATTACTTCACATCTTAACTAACAGACTAGAGAATGTGTCCACAGCTGTATTAGTGATGCTGCAATTATATTAAACCAAAATCTCAAAATCCAATATGGTTGTGTTGTCAGCCACCAAGCGAGATTTGGCACAATTTAATCTTTGTTGTCAGTCACAATGTTTAAGGACTCACAAATGTAGTGAGTTACCCAAATATATCACAGTTTAAAATGTTATAAACTTTTCCTTACGAGCCAGGTGATGCGAGGTGTAGAGTGAAGTGAAGTAAAGTTAGGTGGGAAGGTGTATGTAGATTTGCTTTTGAGGTGGCCTGGTGGTGGTGTTGGTAATTGTGTACATGCTGTTGTTGCTTTGCTATTTGTTTTTGGTGGCGGTGTCTATCATAGAAGTATGAGACTACTGATGCTTCTCCCACCACCCTAGAGCATCATCAAGGAAAAATTAGTCCTTCAATCATTGAGTAATTATATTAAAATTATTAATGTACAGTACAAGATAAATTTTAGAAAGTACTGTAGGACAGATATTTGACTTGTTGTATCCAGTAGATAAGGTTTTGTTGGATGAAAGGTTATGGAAAGACATTGTCAAGGTGACACCCTTACAGTGTGCAGTGGTCCCTTGGTTAACGAGCACAATTTGTTCCAGAAGGTTGCTCGTTAACCGAAACCATTGTTTCAATGGGTTTTGGGGTAATTGGTTCCAGCTCACCGAAAATTGCCTAAAATCAACAAAAGAGGTAGTAAAGTACACTTACTTTGAGGTGTGTATGTAGAAGGCTCCTGGATGATGATGATGATGATGATGATGGAAATTAGAATGGGGGTGGAGGAGAAGGGAGAAGAGAAGGCATTGGGGTGGAAGAGAAGTCACCCCATGGCACCATTTCACCCATAAAATTTTAGTTCTCTTGGTGTAATTCAAGATTATTTTCTTTAAATCAACACTGCACTGCTCTATATATTGTCAATGTGTAAAATAAATTTCAAATTGCCCAATAATTTGCTTGGAAACACAGAAAAAAGCATTTAGTTGAAGAGAGTCTCAAGCAAGATGTTACCTCCACTGAAAAGACACAGAGACTGACGCCTGTATGGTGTGTTGACAGGCTGTTTGACACGCAAAAAACTAGCTTCCTATACTTCAATTATGTTCAATAATTGTTAAAATGACTAAAAAAATTAATAAAAAACTTTTAAAATTATTGAATAGTACAAACTTCTTGATATTTACTAAAATAGTAAGGAATTTAAGCCCTAGAACCGATTACTGTATTGGCGGACTAATACTACAGCTGGTGGATCGCCAAATGCAAGCGAAAACATGTTAAGAATCTTATAGAAGGTAATTCGTTAATGGAAATCTCGTTATCTGAGGCGCTCGTTAACCGAGGGATCACCGTATAGTAATTACTCATTATTATGTAAATTGATATGATATGATTTGCATCAATGAGACAAAAAATACTGGACTTTCATCTTTTTTACATGTCTCCTAGCAAGATTTTTTTTTTCAAGGGTAATGGGAAGTGCTTACCGGTAGGCTTCATAGTTTTTTATTATTATTATTATTATTATTATTATTATTATTATTATTATTATTATTGTTATTATTGTTATTATTATTGTTATTATTAACAACCCTTTCCTTGTGAAGGCAATTTTTCTTTGAGTAAAGTCTTAAAAGATAATCTACAGAAGGAAAAAGATAGGACTTAATTTTGCAGAGATATCATAACTGTCTTTAGGTAGGTGCATGGATTAAATACTGTAAAGAGAAATTTATGTTTAAAATTTTTTCATTAATCTCAATTTACTTTGTACAGGCAATGAATTGTCACTTTACAATCCGAGCCTGCTAGACCTTGCCGGAGATATGGAGGAGGAGGAAGACCCACTGAGCTTCCTTAATAGTGGTAATTTTAGTTCTTCTATGGCACCCTCATCTACATCACCTGCCTCAAGTGCAGCATCTTCGAACAGCTCCACAGGTCCCACACAACCCAAACAGCTGAGACTTAGCATAAAAAAAGAGCGAGTTGAGACTGATTCTTTGGAAACGCCCAAGATTTTATCACCCGACAGGAGCCCTGTGCATCGGGGGAAAAGGCGTACTAATTAAGGGAATATAATTTTTGATTCAGAGATGAAGCATATTCATGTTTGTCATGAAATATTAAGCAACCAAGGATGTGAGTCAGTGAAATCCATTTGTTGTTTCAGTGATATTAAACGGCATATCTTTCTGTATGACAAGTAGTTTTGACATAGTTTTCCTATGTAAGTACAGGTGTATTGTAAATTGTCATGATATTTACACAAAAGATTTGGCATATAATGAAACCTTACATGGACTTTTAATATAATTTGTGAATTACAAAACTGAATTTTTACAGTGTGATTCTTTGTAAAAAAAAATTGCTTTATGTACAATTTGAAGAAATCTGATTATATCATACTACAAACACATAAAATACACTGTATATATGAGTCAGATAGAATAAAATATTGTAATTTCTCAAGAACCTTAACATTATATGTCACACAACTACCTGTGCTAATTTCATGATTGTCATATGCTTTTGCACAAAGAATTTCTTAGTCTTCAAGTATAGGATTGTGCTTACAACACCACTAAAATCAGCTAGTTTAATCTGTACTCCCAGAGTAGATTCTTGAGCAGAGATTATGTTTCTGTCATAATTAACCTTAATTATTAAAACTGTAGTACCCTGGATATTTGTAGGAATGAAATTCTTCATTTCAGTATAATTTTTTCAGTTGTACATTGTTATTTTTTAACGGTTTGCCACCATAGAATGCCCACAACTACTCAGGCAAGGAATTAGTCAGGAGTATTGCTAACTAACTATTTTTGTTGTTGTACTGTAAGTCTATTTCTAAGTTGGTTCTGGGAAGGATGACTTAGGGGATACATTACAAGAGAAAAGATTTTGTTTTTTGGCACAGAGATCAATTGGTTTGTGGAGCACACATGAATATGCAATTAAGAATTGGTTTTGGATAGATAAATGGTTGAGGAACATATATTTTCTTTTATGTTGTAATTATTCTGACAGATTTCATTATATGGTAAGTAGAAAAAACTGAAATGTGTTTGTTAAATAAATACCTCTGCTTAGGTGAAAATCTTAGTGAATGGACAGGTAGAGAGTGCATACACCTAATGCCCCTTTCTGATAGTAGAAGTGGGAGAATTCAAAATAGGTTATAGTGTTGTGGTTTGGACCTCAGTAAATATGTACAGTATTAGGATTAATATTATGAAAATGACCAAACTAGCATAAGTTGGATAATAATCATTATGAAGAGAAAAAAACCAAAGATTTTAGAGAGAATCATTTTATTTTGGGAAGTGTACAGTATATATAGTGAATGTGTAGATATAAATGATCAGGGAAATATTTGGGAAGATTCTGTGTTTGTGTGTTAGTGACAACTCTCGGCAAAAAGTGAATGAGTGGATGACGCCTTTGAGTGCAGTATATAACATTAATAGTTTAATTATTTTTTTCAGGTAAGAGGAGAGTAAGAAATTTGGGTGGAAGGTTATCTTATATTTTAATGATAATATAAAGGTTAGTGGTACAGTATATTTATGATGCTCAAGGACTAAGGATTTCAGTTAAAGTTTCCAGTCCTTGATCATATATAGTACAGTAGTGACCTGCCTATGTATTATTATCAACTGTCACCCAAACTTATGACTGTCCTATTACTCTACACGGCTTATTTTACTTGAAAAAAATTTATCGTTGTACTTTGCTCGATGATGTTTTTGCATAAGTATCACGGATATCTTATACAGTACATACCTGTTACAGTTTGACCTTGCAAATTTGTGGTAATTGGTGTCCCACCATGGCAGATTTAACAAAAGGCATGGAATTTTGGAGTAAGCATTAAAAACATTGGAAAATTTGCTCATTTGCTAAAAACACTCAATCTAATTGAATACACTAATCTTTATTGTTTCAAACTTGCACTCCAAAGTCATATTTATTGGACAGTTCTTTTAACACTTATTCCACTCTATATGAACGATGTGGTTCACAGTTAAATGATTTTGTGAGCACAAGATTAGCCTTATTTGAAAAAAAATCAAATTGCTTATGTAAAAAAATGAGAAAAAATGCTGATAAACAATAAAATTGGTACATAGCATATCATAAAATACAATAGCACATGTTTTATGTACAGTCACTCAAAAACAGTCTCTATTTGGGGAATCGATGAATTTCAGAATGAACACTGCAAATCCTGTTGTCTCAGTAGGGTTACCCAAATCCTTCATCTGGTGTGTCATATTTTTTCAACACAATTTTGTATAGATATTTTTTTTTTGAGTGACTGTACAAAAAATAGCTCCTTCCACACTCACACCATCCTCTGGGCGATGTGACACAGCTCAGCTAGGCAGTCACCCAGCTGACTCAGAGACGTGTGGCTGCTGCCGCGCTGTGCTGTGTGTATGCCATGGTGTCAGATGAGGGGAAGGGCGAGTCGACGACATAGTTACAGCAGCCTGCTGCCCCAACAGATACTGTATGTTCACTTCCCACACATACACACTAATGCTCTTCATTGTTCTGATTTTAAAAGTTTTATATTCTATTTTCTTTATTTCCAATCCACATTTGAATATTGTAATGATTTAACTTGATTTGATTTTTCTCAATCGAGCACGGACAAGCGATAAATATGGTTAACCCCCATCTCTTTTTGCACATTCTCTATTACAACAAAAATATCAAGGAAGGTTATATAATACATTACACCAGAGGAACCCTTTACATTAATGATGAAGTAGAATTTGCAAAAGGAAGTATAAGAGTGACAGATGAACACAAAAGTGAGACAATCCCATTACCTCAGCTACACTGAGAGATTAAAGTGCCTGCAATTGCCTAGCTTATACTACAAACAGGCAAGGGGGAGACCTAATTGAGGTGTATAAACATCTCGAAGGGCACTACTCCGTCGAGTGTCCTTACCTGGAGCTGGCGGACGCTCGCCCCACAAGGGGTCACAGATCAAGGTTCAAGAAGCTGTACTGTGATGGCACAGGGTGTGAGCTCTTTAAAGACCAGACTTGACAAGTACTGGAGCAGGTTCAGATACATTCAGGTGCCAGTACTTGCCAACAGTGCGTAACAGAGACGTGACCGATCGTCCTAGTGGCGAAGAGGATAAAAGTAAAAAGTACAAGGAACAGGAGTGTAAGACATTGTTGAATAAAATTTTGGCAGACAATTGATATACCTCATAATTTATGAGGAGGAAGCGTTTGTGAACCAAAGACTTGGCTGGATATATGTTACCTAGAGGTCAATGGTGGACCACACCAATCTCCACCCCTGCTATAAATAGCTGCCACTCTTCACTTTATTTAAGGCCAAGTAAGGTTAGTACTGTATAAGTATTGTTTTATGTTTGTTCTATACAGTAAACCCTTGTTATTCATGGGGGTTAGATTCCAAGGAATGGCGCAAATAGGCTAAACCACGAATAGCAACTGATACAACCTTAGTTCACTACTGTATTCCTATATCAAACAACCGACCAGCTGCAGCAGCACTCATCCCCTTTTTTTAACTTAACTAATACCCGGTAATTCAAATTTCTTTGTCAGGGTCTTTACTGACTTTTGCCTTTTACATTTCACTCCACTAGCACCGACACAAGGCACTCTTTTTCGGGGCCATTTCACACAGAAGCACTATAGTTTGAGAGCACAACACGAGATGCTGCATCACGGTTGAGCTTGAACAGAGGGAGAGTCGACACTGCAGGTGTGTGGGGTGACTCGTTGTGTTGCGAGAAAAGGTTTGCAAGCTAGCCACCATAGCTACCATCTGCTTACCGCGAATTGTGGAAATTGCGATTCGCAAACCTGCAAATGGCAAGGGTCTACTGTCTACAAATAGTAATCTATATTAATTTGTTTTCCCCAAAAGTGCACATTGAGGGGTGGGACGTAATTATACAGTGAGCAGCAGAAGGTTTTTGTGCAGCAAAATTAAGTTCTTGGAATTTAATTTCCTTAATTTAGCTATGTCTGTGACAAAGATTTTATTACTGTATCTTACCTTTGATTCACTTGAGTTGCACTTTTCAAGAACACAATTATGACTATAGGTGGGGAGCCCCATAAATATATACAGTACACATAGAGATGAAGCAATGGCATTTTAAATACAGTATTTTTATCGTGATTTTAAGTTTCATTCATTGAGCAGGTTGTAAATCACATTCAGTAGCAAAGAAGGGAAGAAAGGGTGTAGAGTAAATGTAAGGATGATAGAGAGCAAATAAGAGATAAGGCAAGATGCAGAGTAAATGTGAGTGTTTATTTCTCCATAAACCATTGTCTTGCCATTTTTCATTATTATAACAGTATTTTTTTTTTGTATTTTAAGTCACAGTTCTCAAGCTCAGGTTCTAAATCAATGCAAATAAAAAATATCAAATGTTATATAAAACTGCATACCTTTTAATAGTCTCTACTGAAAATGTGCCAATAATATAAGTAAATTGTGGAATCACATGAACGTAAATGGTCGTTATTGACATAGGTACAGTACATTGTAGTGTGTGTTTTTAACTTTTTTTTTTTTCAAGCATTCTTTGAGCTGTTGATGGAATATACAGTACAGTAGATTAATTGTCGAGGTGACCACTTTGATCAGTGCTTTGTTTTTGGTCTATGTTTTGAGGTGCACTCATGTCATACAACTTGTTTTATATCTGCTGATTGATAGTTGTTGGCCAGTTTGACTGAATGATACAGTATTACAGGGATTTCAGTAAAATTTGGAGTTTGATTTATCACTTTAATGTAACTGTTTTTGAAGAAAAGAGTTACGAACATCATTATTGTTTTCTGATTAAATAATTGTGTGTTACAGTAGGGTCGGGATATATCGCAAGATAGGGTCCAACGATGTTTGCTATATACGTACTAAATTGTGATATATAATTACATGTACTCAATGGGGGAAAATAGGGTTAGGTTCTGGAGGCCCAAAAAAGTGACTAAACTTGACTTAACGATTTAATTTTCTTACTAACTGAAACACCAATGAACACTGGACTCGGGAACAACAGGCTTTTTCAGTATCAATATCAGGGAACACCAGACTCGGCAGCTGACGCACCATCCTGGGAACACCAGACTCGGCTGCAGACCCCACACTGCCACCCTCACTTGACAGTCCCATACCTACATAAATGAACAAACCAAAAATATTAGTTAACAGTATTAAATCTTTTCCACTAAGCTTTCCATTATCTTCACTTCACTTTTCACATCGCTAGCAACCCATTTACACTCGCCATAGAAGTCGTATTCTGCAGCAGAGTCGGCTGCTTTCTCGTCACTCACTCAGAAACACTGAGCGGGCGAGTGTGAATGATGAGTGAGAAGCCACGGTGGGGCCCGTGGAGAGAGCAAATAACGCATTTGTTTGCCATGGCGGTACATTTGAAATATTTCCTGCCCGATTTCCCTAGTGAAATACAAAAAAAAATTATCGCTATATACCTGTATAGGAAAAGTTCGATAATTTTGGTAGCCGCGATATAAAAAAATCGTTATATAAAGTCGTGATATATCCTGACCCTACTGTATCATATTAGCCTTAAATAGAGGAGTTTTGTACCTACTCAGTGCTTCTCTTCATTTATTATCGGTGAGATGAACAGAGGTGTATTCACCATGACATGATTAAATGGCCAGTGCTTATGATGCAGCACTTGACATTGAAATCACTGTAATGCATACACTATAGGTACTGATACTTTATTCCTAGCATATACCCTAAGACAAGGTGTCTTTTGTAATGGATGCGGCTAACTTGTGGTTTAGGGTTCTCCCTGTAGTGCTCCTTAATGCAAACCAGGACTTAGCCATTATGTTCCATCAGCCCACTTCTTGCCAAAGTTATTGTCTGCCATTTTGATATTCAATTCCAAGTCTGTGTTTCACATATCTCCCATGAAGATATTTATGGACTGAATGGTTTGTGAGCAGAACTTTCAGGTTCAATTTTTTCTTGCTCAAATTATTTTCTTACTAACCTGCATGGCATGTATCCAGTTCTTGACTTCGGAGACAAATTGTCTGATTCTTTTCCAGGGATACACCTGTTCCTCTTGATTATTTGGCCTCTGGATACTGAAGGTTTCTTCTTTCTCAGAGATTCCAAGATAATACTGAAGAACAATATGGTAAAGAAGAATTTGAAACTTTACAGACTTTCCTGGCCACAGTACTGTAGATGGCACGGTAAAATGAATCTTTTCTCCTGGGAGGTGGGCACAAAGTGTGTTGATTGGACACACTTTGTGCCCAAGCTAGGTCTTCACTGAGCCAAGTGTGTCAGAGAAGACCATTAAGCCTCTGTTGAGTAACTGTTGCACCTAGTCTCTTTATTTTAATCATTATGTGATGGGAAGGGAGGGGTTATTAGTTTAGTCAAATGGTTTAATAAATATGAGGCCCTTTAGATGAGAAATAGACATGTGACAAAAGTAAAAAATGAAAGAAAATGCAGTTAAAAATAAAAAATTTTTTTAGTATAACTCATGAACTAATAAAGGTATTTTCTTTAATTGAATGCACTTTTCCCTTAAGCTGTCATAATCTACAGGACATAAGCTAAAATATAGATGAAATGAAAGAGATACTTAGGTTAGTGAAGGATTTTTATTTCAATATATTTATTTGTACTTGAACTATGTATATTTTCTTGCATATATTTTCTTGCATTTTTTACTCTCGTCACTTGTCAATTTTTGGCCCGCTCCGGGCCTTACATACCCTGACTTGCATTATGGGAAATGTCAGAAGGGTCACACTTAACCCAGCTAGTAGCCTGTGTTACAAGAGCTGCCTGGCTTTGGTTTCCTCTAGAAAATAAGATTACAGGATTATCTGTCAGTTTTGATAATTTAATTTCGAAAACAATAATTTCATCCATAGAAAAACTGAGACCATAAATAACTTGTTTGGGAATGCAGTTTTGCTTAATGTGAACTAAACTAATATTTATGATGTATATTAACATACTGTAAATCTTTTGGGAGTACAGTTGGGATCTTTCTCTCCATGAATAATGTCCTCATTTGCTTGTAGCCAATGATCAATATTATGCACTATGTATTTATACTTTCCCTGTTGTAACAGTGCAAGGCTACTTTT